TGTGTCAGCCCACAAGGAATCTAGGTTAGTAGCGCGCAGGTGGCCTGATTATATGACCGTCTAGCTGCTAACCCTTTGCCCAACCAACCTTAGTCGCCTTCTACGACATGCACAGTACGGATACAGTGGTCCTATTCTTTGCTCCTCTATCTCTTGGACAGGGCCCCGAGAACCACACGGGTGACTGTAGATGTACGGGCATGTTATAATTCTTGGACAACCATTTCCTCGATAACTGAACAAAATTAAATGTCAATAAATTCTCCATGGACAATTTCGATTTCAATATATAATACAGTCAGCCATATAATGATAATATAATTGTTCTTGTATGATGGGATGTTTAACCCAGTGTGAGTGCATTAAAGGCTTGCTTGACCCACAATGAAAATGTAACACATTACACATTTTTAGTACAAATCTCTAGGTTTTTAGATTATGTGTTTATATATATATTCTTGAAAAGGAAGAGTTCTAGTTGAAATTTTGTCTCATTATTTAGGCTTACACATAAATTGTCATTTGGCTGTAGTTAGATTGTAAATACAAGGCTTTCAGAGAACTGAGTCATTACCAAATTCCTCTACAGGGTAGGCAAAAAGTTTTACACATATTATAGTTATTTTCCCATTCCTCTTTCTCGCGAGTTCTCTCAGACTCTGTATTTGTTTTTGTTTTGTTTGTAGGATTTTCCCCTGATTTTGAAATATTTTTTCTTAATACTTGAAGTACAAATGTATAATTTCTTTGTTACATTATAAACATAACCAGAAAAAGTCTTTTTTATTATTCTTTTTTATTTTGAATGAATGTATATTTTTGGCCTCTCCCTGTTCTAAACATTCTTAATCAGCCTGAGTTCGTCAGAGATAGGTTGAAAAAACCCAGCCTATCCTTACTGAACAATCTAAACTGTGCAATGGAGTGTAAAACATTTGTGTTGTATTTTTAGATATCAAGCCTGCTCGCCTGTCACTCCATTTGATTGTAAGGAGAAATTTGTCGAGAGATTCAAATGAGATGCCCCAAGAACAAATGTAAGTGTGAAATAATGAACTTCAGCCAAAGCACTTCAATGGTCAGCTATAAAAATGCACTGAACTTAAAATGTTGACTTTATATAAAAGATTATAGTTTCTTAATCTATGATATCAATTTTTCACTTTCAAGCATATGATTTAAAAATGTGTGCACAACACTTTGTTTAAAGATGTTTTGGTACACTTATTACCACAGACAAATAGCACGCAGTGAATAGCAGAGCAATGCTTTTTAAACTGTGAGATATTTGTTCGGTTATTATCCTTTATCATTAACATTTCAAAATATCCTCTATTTGAAAAGGCTGTAAAATGATACATGTGCAGTACTGTAATCATTTTTCCGTGCCGAAAAGCAATTTCAATACACAATATTATGATTTTATCACTAATTATTACTGCACTGTGTGCTTACAATCTGTCAAGTATGAAGTAAGGTGATTTCTGTCAGATGTTAAATCCTTAAATTTGATCTTCGTGATTGAGGATTGATGTCCATTTTGTTATGAAAACAGCTCCAGATTAGATGCTCTGCAGAGTCAATACCAAACTGGAGCCTTTAAAAAAAAAAATGTTTGTTAGCAACTTATATGTGGATTCTGTCTTTCTTTTTACTTTAATTTGCATCTTTGCTGTTGTCATCATTTTGCAAGAAAACTATTTCTCATTAGCACATTCCGCCTGAAGCTGAAAGTAGGGCAAGAATCTCGGTGCCTGTCTTAACTTGTAGCCTACCCTTTTCCCCTTCAGAATTGATGATTTGAATAAAGTAAAGAGAGTGAGGCTGGATCGTGAAAGCATTGGGGAAATAGACAGCTTAGAGCTCCTGAGCTCACAAGTTACACATCTGTACCTTCAGAAAAATAGGATTGAGTGTATTCAAAATTTGGAATGCCTTCCAAACCTGCAGGTATGTATGCATACTAAAACTGGGAGATTGTTGTTTGTGGGTGGTTGGAGGGTGCTCTGGCGTGGTTTGCTTCTTCTTTTCTATCAAACGTCTATCATCCTTATCTCTCCCCCCCCCCCCCCCAACCAACTTTGTGTTTTTTTTGTTCACATTATAATGGCATTGTCCAAAACATCCACCTACCTAAAAAGAAACACAACTTTTGTCTGACAATGGGTAGCTAGCTGTTGTCTTGGAGTGGACAATCTTTATTGTATATACCTAGTTGGATTGTGCAGTAAATTTTATGGGACTGACTGACGGAGATAATTATTTCGAAGGCGCACGCCTTCTGTTCGAGGAAATACATAACCATAAAGAGGCTCTATAGTTTTTCGCTACAGAATAAAATTAAGTTGATGTCTTGATGATTGTCATGTAACAGTTCTTTTTAGAAGAGTTTTGAAATTTTACTTTCTTGGAGCATTAGATTAAACCTTTGCTATTACTTCTCCAACTGAGTAGCAAAATTGATCAATATTTCATGTTTAATTTCTTCACAGGTTTTGGTTTTGTCAAATAACCAAATTAAGGAAGTAGAAGGACTATCACATTTGCAGAAATTGATATTCTTAGATTTATCAGAAAACTGCATTTCCGATGTTGATACAGGTATGCATATATATATTTGTCTCTGCGTGTATATTATGTTGTACAGTCAAACCTTGTAATACCGCCACCCTTTGGATGGGCATAAAGTAAGCGGAACAGCAGGGCTGGAGGTTCATCAGGGTTTCTCTTTTGTATAGCCTCGTTTACCTTATGTTTAGGAACATGATTCTGCTGTGCAATTTGTGATTGAAAAGTGTCTTTTTGTTGGTGATACACATGTACATGCACATCTATTGAGAGCCGAGAGTTTGCTCTCTCTCTCTATCCCTCTGCCTTTCTCACGGGAGAAAGATATTATCAAGTAGCCAACCAGTGGGTGCTGTGCACCTTGTGCAGTGTGCACTTCTGGCGGTATGGCGGGGAAAATTTATATAAGTTAAATAAGGACCATACTACTCCGACAACTGGTGGATGGCGGTGTGAAGGTGCAAGTACTATGTTTGTATAGGCAGTCCTTTTCATTCTTTGAAAAAAACTTGGTGGTAAGCGAGGCTGGTGGTATAATATGGGGGCGGTACAACGAGGCTGACTGTATTTATAATTAACCCTATCCGTACTCCCTGCGGTCATTTTGTACCCCCGGGGTTGTACTCTTCACTTTTTAGAATACTTCTAGTTTTTAGAATACTTCTAGTACTAAGACCTCTTTGAAACTTTCAGTATTTCTCAAAAAATCATTTTGACAGACTGCTTTACTAAGCGTACAGATCGTATTAACGAGTCAATTTCCTCTTTGGAAAGTGGTGGCACATAGTTCTTCGTGTCGTATGGATATGATAGTAAAACACGACAACTGATAGGGTTAAGGAGCTTGTGTGACGTTAAAGTTAAAGACTGTCATTGTCATATGTAAGCCTATAGCCATACAATGGTACACAATGAACACATTAGATTAAGATTAGAAGAAAGAGATACTGTAAAGAGGAAAAATGTACCATTAGTGCATGAGAATGCAGAGATATGTACATGTACTATGCACTACTGTTTTAAAGCTAAATAGGCTTATACTTAGAGGTCCTGAAGTTTTGATAGTAAAAAAAAGGTTATGAGATGTATTTGAACAAAACCATAAAAGTATATTATTTTATGAAAACAAAAACAGCTGAAGCAATATCCTCAGGAAGTTATTATTTTTTTCCCCTCTGTTTATTCTACATGTATTTAGCATGACTCTCCCAGTTCATGTCAGTTTGAATTAGACTTACTAATCACTTCCATCTTTATAGATAAAGTACTGTACTTATACTTGAGGTATAGACTTTACCATTTCACTAATCTAGTTCTTTTCTTCAACAGAAGAACTTCCTTGCAGCTTAGTGATACTCAATCTTGCAGGAAATGAATGTGTGACAAAACCAAAGCACAGGTATTCCATACCTTCTTCTCAACTTTTCTTCAACATTCACTAATAGATGAGCAATACGTTCCTTGCTATCACACAGAGATTTTATTTTCTTTGGCTTCATATAAAAACACTAATGAAAAACAGCACACATATATTACTTCTTTCCTCCTCTCTAACCATGTTCTGTCGTTTGCGTTGGTATCCACTTTCTGCCCCCCTCCCCTTCTGGGCTCCTAGCTCTTTCTGCTGCCTTTCTTGTGCTGCAAGTGCTACTCCTTGGCTCCTTCTTACTTTGTTACTGCTGTCTTTTAGCCACACTCTTGGTCATAGGGCAGGTAAGATCTAACACCTAGCTTTCTCGGATGGGGGCGAACAAATCTCAGACAGGTCCTGTATGCAAGTTGTGCACATTAAAGATCCATTGGTGGTCCCAAAATCGATAAGAGTAGGTTTTGACCGCCACTAGGCCAAAATTCAAAATTAATTTACCAAACTGAAAATGATTAATGTGTCCCGCACGCTCATATGACCTTATGTATTTGCTAATGCCATAAAACACTAACCAAAAAAACAACAAAAAACCCCACATAGGCTATATATAACATGCAATGACACTTACATTGGCCCTGAAATGCATAGGCACACTTACACAAGTAGTTAGACATGAGCATCACTCTGTGCTTTCTCCACTTACAAAATTTTGTAGTGCATTCTTCTCCAACAATCTTCTCCCTGCTCCCATCTGGGTTCCCCAGATTCTCCTTTCCGAATTTTAGTCTTTTTCTTGTGACACTGATGTTTCTTCACAGATTTTTAATCTCTTCAGAGGACTTCAATCTTCTCAAAGAAATTACTTGACTTTGTCTTTTTTTTCCAAGTTAAATTATTTTGTAAATAAAAGCTGAAGTACCACTGATGTATTTTGCATTTTGTACTATGGTTTGTCATTATATTTAAGTTTGCAGAATTAATTTGATCAAATTTGATGTGAATGTCTTATGTTTATCATCTATGCAGATCATTTACCATTGACAGAAATTATAGGGTTGTGTGGTAGATACTGTTTGAATGTGAAGCGGTATGGTCTAGAAAGGGTTACTCAACTGTGTTTACTTTCTATTTTTATTTCGTTCATCTAGGTCTTCTTCTTAACTTCCAGTTTTTTCTTGTTCCGGATGTTCATAGCCATTGCAGTTCGTTGCTTTATATATAGGCCTATTATTCAAATGCTATTCAGTAAGCGATGTCCTGTCAAAACAAAATGTTGAAATTTTCTTTGAGCCTGTACTCACATCTGGGTTTTTTTGGGTTTTTTTTTAAAGGGAAAAATTGATCCAGTCCTTATTGAAACTGAAGCAGCTAGATGGAGCACAAATAACAAGGCAAGAAAAACTGGGTGCTGGTCTGGATATATCAGATGATGAAAGCAGTGAAGAACTGGAAGATGAAAATCGGGAAGAAGATGACGAAGAGAAGGAGCAGGATGATGAAGATCACCCTGTTTCACCCATTGCTGAACCCATACCAATAAATACACAACTCTCAGCATACAAACAGTTGCCAAAGATTCAGGGTAAGGTTTGCTTTTTGTTTCACTGTAGGAAAGGGTCAAGTAAGTCATATATGATAAACATTTTTGGTGGGTTAGAGTTGTTCTTTATGTTAATAGTACCTTATAGCCTACTGCAAACACCAAGCGAATCCAAAATCCACAAGACTTGCTGTCATCCTCATGTCATGGCATAGGCTATTTAAGATAAACTTACATACCTTTATAATTCAAACTATATTATTAACTGTAAAGAAAAGAGAAGGCACTATTTGGGAATGTCCTGACCTTGGTAAAGGAATTTTTATCTGCCAATCTGACTTCTGGCTGTAGTTTAATACAGAATGCCACCTGGTAGATTTATTTTTTTTTCGTGATGTCATGTTTTGTCCAAAACTTTCACAATTTGAAATACCCCATACTTTTAAAACACTTCCATTAGAGGAAATTCATATCAAATTTTTAAGTTAATCTGTCATCTGATAATTGTACAGAGAAGTTGCAAATAGAAACTATACTTTAAATGCCCTGGGAAGGATTTTGAAAAAAACATGGAAAATCTTAAGTAAGCACTGTTAGAACTTGAATGGGAAAATGAAAATAGCCAATAGTTCTTTTTTACCTCACTGGGTTTCCCTGTAGTGCATACATTGGATAGTTATACAGGCTAGGGATTTTGATGACACCAATATATATTTTATTTTATGTCAAAAATGAAAAATGGAGTTAAGTCTAACATCTGCGTTTGTCGCGGCCGCGATTTTTGCATTTTTCAAAAAGAAAAAGCCACATAACATATATAGACATGTATTTTGTCATGTTTAGCTATTTTCATGCGAAGAATATAAATTACATACTATTTTCATTGCTGTTTGTCTTTTATTTTTCCCTCTTTGTTGGTGTGTTAATTATTTTTTATTGTTCTGATGTGTTGTTTTTCTATTTTTTAGTTTATATAACGTAATGTCATTGAATTTGATGTTCCTACATTAAAAAAATATACAGATGTGTTTTGTTAGAACGTGTCTCCACCAAAACTGAATACTGACACTGGCAGGCCCCTTGTGTGTGATTAAATAATTTACATGTAGTATCCTGCACTTTTTCTTGAATTACACACCTTTAGGGTTTAAAACGGCCAATCTTCGGATAGGTGGACACACGTGCTGTTTGTTAATTTTTGCGGTTGTTTATGTGCTATTCTAATTTTGATTTCATTCTGTTATGAAACTTATATTTTCTCGTGTTTACACTCTGTGTGACTGCGAACGATATTCTGGATGCTTAAAACAGCACAAGAAATTCTGGTGCTTTAGATTAAGTTACTTGTATCAACATATTGCTATACACGTCGTCTCAGAGAGTTGAAAGTGAAAGCTTGAAAATTAATGGTAACTTTTGCCATTTTTTGTGGCAACTTTTGGACAAAAAAATGGTAACAAACGCAGATGCTAGTTAAGTTCCCTTCAGAACTAACAATTAATTTTTGTTCTGTATCTTCCATTGTAATTGCCAAGTAAATGGGTCTAATTGACAGGCTGCAAAATTAGTAAGGTATTTCTTCATCTGTAGGGTAGTGAAAATGATCATAATACGTGGTGCCCTTTGCAGATGGGATTGGGTCGGGTCGGGTGCGATTGCCCCACTCGTCGCCTGAAAAAGAACGCGTTTGTTTTTCAGGCGACGAGTCGGGCGCGATCAGCTTGTGCCATAATAGCCGCTTTGTACCTTCAATCTGGTTAGCAAACCGCCTGGACCAGACCTGATCCCCTAATGGGCACCCTGTATAAGGGAATGTATCTGCCTTGGTACAGGTCTTAGAAATGGTTCAGGACATTAATACTTTTTCTGAGCACAGTTAATAACTGATAGGTTTTAGATTAAGTTAATGATTTGGGCTCAATGATAACAGAATTATTCTTGATTGCAATTTTTAGGCAAGATTATTATTTTTCATTTAAGAAGGTAGGCTAATTGTTTATGTTGTTTAAAATCTTTGTTGAAAGTAAAATTTAGCATCCATGAAATACAAAGTTGTTCTTTTCTCATATGCATTGTAAAATACATCATATACCCTAAACTACATAATAATAATGTGGACCTTCTGTTTGCCCCTGCCAGCCAGCGTCCAAGATTTTGCGACAGAGATGTTGTTGAGGTCCCAGGCTCGTCTGGAGGAGAGTGCTGGAGAACATAGACGTCATATTCAGGAGATGACCAATTCCAAAATCAAGGCACGGATACGACCACTTCAGCACATACAGAAGCCTCAATAATCGGGCAGCATGCCTTTATAAATTTTGAGATTAATTTTAAGATGTTGAATGAAAGACTGTTTTTAAGTTGAGTAAACTGACTCTTTTACCTGAGCACATAGACCAGCATTATGAACAAAGAAATACAGTGGGTGTCGCATTCAACGAGGTCACACATTCAACGAGAAGTCGGCTCCAACGAGGCAATCCTTAATCCCCAATTTTTTTCCTCTATATCTCTTTGTAAATGTACGTCAGCTCAAACGAAGTTGCAAAAAACAGACAGAAGTCGCTTTCAACGAAGTTGCGATAACCAAATAAAAGTAATTGACGGCCCCAAAAGCAAAGAATTTTTCTCCATTCTCTCCATCTCACGGGAATCACAAGGCCCATCCTCGATTCATAACACATTGTATTGCTAGATCTAGTGTGCCTCCTAATATGGGCCCCAAAGCCAAGAGGATGGGCGAGGGTTAGCCTACGGTAGGGATGGGAGGGGGTAGGTGGGAACGCGATGCGGGCTGTGTGAAACTGGATGAATTCTGGATGGGTAGGTCTAGATCGAGACCTTCATTTTTTTCAATTTTCTTTTTTTCCCCTGATCAGAAAATCCAAGCTCCCGCCTTTACTTTATGTAGATCTAGGCCTAGATGTGAGAGGGTATGTTTCCAAACGAGAAGTGTTCCGGGAAAAAATATTTTGTAAAATGCAGAGATAACGGTCAGAACACAGCAACTGTTTTAATTACTGGTATTGGTAGGCTACATCGTGTAATATAACAACTTGTCTCCTTTCTTTTCTTTAACCTTAGTCACGTTCAACGAGAGGTCGGATCCAATGAGGACAACAAGCCGGTCCCGGCAACCTCGTTGAATGCGACACCCACTGTATTAAGCTTTACTCCCTTTCAACAATACTTAAGACAGTGAATGTCATTCTATGGCAAATTCTACAAGTAATTTCGAATTGAAAATGAGTAATCACTATTATTAATTATAACTAATAGGCCTATAACTCCACAGATAAAATAGCAAAATCATGTAGTTACCTGTCTAGAGGACCACATATTTTGATTTTGACTTCAGTTCAGTGATTGAACGTTGTATTTCAGCATGATCAGCTTGTTCTTATACATAATATTTCAAATTCTTGCACTGTGCTAGTGCAGAATAATAAAATAATTTTTGTTGGCTGAACTATATGAGCATTTCAGATTGTGCTGTTGGTCACATAACTGTTGTAGTCAAGAATCGTGTCCGTTTGTATGCACAGTTTTTTCTGGGTTATTAATGAGCTTGGGAGAGAGAGAAAGAGAGGGAGAGGGGTGTAACTGTGTATGCATACAGTGGAACTCGGATTTAACGAGATGAGACAGATTCCCCGTTTTTTTTCTTCTTTAAAATCAATAAAAGTAACCCGGATTCAACGAGCACTTAAATCAGCGAGCTCGGATTCGATGAGGTCATTTCCAGGGTGAACAGTCCCCGCAGACGTGGCTTCGCTAATTTTTCTCCCAGAACGAACTTTATCTATTCCCGGAAACAATCCATTGCACCTACATCGTGAACCATTATTCACTTAGCCAATTGCATGCGACCAATCAGCGGTCTTTTAAAATACCAACACACGTGTTTTGGGCACGCGCACGTGTCTACTCTGGCGTGTGTCAGGGTCGGATGGGCGGCCTGCACACGTGTGGCTGTGTGTGCGTGTCGGGGGGGCACTAGCGGTCCGGGCGCTGAACGTCGCATATATACAAACGCGTCACAGTCTTTTTTCCCCCTCGGCAACTGATCATTATTACAATAATAAGCTAATCTTGACATAGATCTATGTAATGAATTGTGCGCTGGTCAAGGGAATCAAAAGTTGCCATATGCTAGGCTCTACACAGCAACACAACTTTGTGGTAAACAATCGAGATGACACAGGAGTGTGTATTTGAACTAATCGGTCTTTTTTTTACACAGCTCAAAATACACAGGCCTTTCAGGCACTACTTGTGACTTCTCTTACACATTACTTGCTCGGTGCCTGTAATTATCCACACAAAACCTCGTGTTTGCCTATAACGAACACTCGGATTCAACGAGATTTTAGGTCAGGCCCGACGACCTCGTTGAATCCGAGTTCCACTGTATAATATTAATATGTGTCAATCGTGATGTAGGCAAAACTACATGTGTTATGTGTGTGTGTTTTACTGGTGTTAGAAAGAGAGTGAGAGAGAGAGAGAGAGAGAGAGAGAGAGAGAGAGAGAGAGAGAGAGAGAGAGAGAGAGAGAGAGAGAGAGGGGGGGGGGGGGGGGAATGTTGTGTATACTACAATGAGAAATGCAATGAGTAGAAAGGAATACAGTTCTGACCGATTTACGTGTACTGAAAAGATTTCTCTGTCATTTATATAATATATATATTTGTAAGCCTTCTCCTCAGGTTTACTGTGGCACAGTAATAAAAGTGTTTACCGTTTTTCATCACAAGACGTATGATGATCACTTCCAATACAAATGCCAAGGTTTTGTTAGATCCCTGGTCCTTGCACTTGCAGTCAGGCAGACAACTTAAACATTTTCTCCCCTCTGATTTGACAGTAAGTTAGATCGAGTATCTAATCTCTTTAGAAAAGGAGAAAACCTGAGAGGCCACAATGAACCTTGTACTGTAGTTGTACAAATGAACATTTCACAGTCAGAAGTGCAAGCTTGTAAGGGAAAGGTTAAATACTAATCCCAACCAACAACTGGGAAAAAAACACTGGTTTATATAGGCCTACATGTATAGGAATGCCTTCAAAAATTGCAATTGCCTGGGCACCCAAACACAGGTAGAAATTATTGCCTAGAATATAATGCTCCATGACCAGTAGCAGAGAAACATCTGGGAAGACTGACGTTGGAGTTGGACAACTCAGGTCGTGAGCACTTCTCTCAATCTCTCAGAAAAGAATAACTAACGATGACTTTATTTAATATGATGACAGTCAATAAATAAAGTTCCAAGGCCATCTTCATCTAGAAGCAATGCATTTTTCAACACCATTCAAAGTATCCTGCCAACATAAATATCATTATTAATAATTGATGTACTGTAAGGCAGAAAGTATAGTCATTTCCACTTTATCTTTAACCGATGTCTTGATATCAAAGCACAGTCACAGTCGAGAAATTTTTCAGTTATTAATATTCATAATATTGGACTTAGTGCAACTTAATTTTCATCCCAAAAAATATGTGCAAGTTCAACAATTCAAACTTCCTTACAAATTTATGTTTTTCCTTTTAATACTTTTAACAAAAAGGACATCTCTCACCAAAATTCCCTTTCCCACTTTTTTGCTCAAATGAGCGAAGGAAAATTGTCTTGAAAAAAACAACAAAAACAAACAAACCCAGTAGGCTTAAAAGAATTGACACCCCAAGAGCAACAAATGAAAACTTTAAAATACTGGGTACATGGACATACATTTCTTGAAGATAAAAATCCCCCCCCCCCCCAAACTCCACACACAAGCAACAAAATCAAACATAACACAAAGATAAACCACCCAACAGCAGGCATTGATTTACAAAAATTTTTTTTTATTGGTCTTTTAAAATTTTCATGACATTTTTCTTTGTCCTGAAAAGTGTCCTTAGGCCATACTTTTCAGATTACTGCCCTGAAAATCGTGAGATTTATGCACAGCTTTCCAGTAAAATACAGTTATCAATTATATCACACTCCTTACCTACAGCCAGCACAACGTCAGCAATATAATATCATAAACAGCAATTAAAAACAGACATTATTTTTCATAAGCAAGTAGGAAATGTTTAGATCTAACCTTGCTCCCAAAAGCATACTTGCCAAACTTCTTTATAAAATAGACAATAGGACTGTAACTGTAACATTGTCTCACATCGGTCAAGGTTTCAATTCACCAGAGGCATAAACTTGATAACTATAATTATGAACCTACTATTGAGCACAGGCAGTTTGAATGGCTTGAACTCATTACTTTGTCACTTGGAGTTTGCTGTAACTGAGTAACACATGATGCTGTGCTTGTAGATAAAAACTAGACAAGAATGTGTTTTCCTACCAAGAAAGGACCAATTTCACTATGCTGAGGGTAAAGAGAGTTTTGATACATGAATGACCTAGCCACTCATCTTTCCATTCACCATACAAACACTTAGAATTCATCAAAGGCAATGTCATCTCAGCTTAGATGCAGCATTGCGACCTTGATTAGCCTGGTCTACTCAATGATGACCTGCCAGCTCAACTCTTCCGGTGCATCACTGTCACTTGGCGCACCATATCACATGGGATGGTGGTGCATTCAGTACAAGTCTACCTTCAGGTCAGCCTATCCTGCACTGCAAAATAGCAATACATCTACCCCCACCCACATTCCATCACAAATCATTGGTCTGAGAGACGGTTCTTTCTCTAGAGAAATAGTATTCACAAGTTTATGCAATTCAAAGGAAAGCTGTCAAATAAGGACAGCTAGAAAAAAAAATACTATCACGAGAGCAAGGAAGAACTGTAATAACAATGAGGTTATAGTTATAATAGTTATAGTAAAACAGACTTCATCTCTGACATTTAATATTGTCCATTTAAAAAATCAACTACTTTTCCACATAGCAAAACAGCTTAGCATTGCACCCCCCTCTAGCTCACTTGGAAAATATTTCAAAAGAAAAAAAATTTGAAAGCTGTCTTCTCACTCAGAAAAGAGACTTTTTAAGCCTTCCTCTACCACTTCTACCATGAAACTATTTTTTTTATTACGAGTTATCATCCCTGCAGCAATACAGAAATTAAAGTTCAGTATAATAATAATAATAATAATAAAAATAATAATAATAATAATAAATAAGAACAAAGGAAAAAAATCTGTGTATTTCATGATCACAAAAAAATGAGTGAGGCAAATTACATCATGACAACAAACTATCTTTCTCAAAAGTACAGAACCATTTTTAATCACACACCATAACTCCAACAGTGGATGGCCAACTCAAATAAAATATGCACAAACCATACTGAGAAGTAACATTCCTCTACATCTGACACAACCTCACCATCAAATTCCATACTGCATCCTCAGAATCCATCCATACTCTTCATCACAATAGAATACTTTCGTGCCCCAAACCCCGTTTTAACATAAAAGGCAAAGCAAGTGTTCAGTCCTCATCAAGATTTGAACACACCAACTAGTGCAGGTCGAAGAGTGCGAGAGTGTAGCCGGAAACCAATCTTTTGCACGATAGCCACGGTGTCTGCCTCCTGAGTTTCTTTAGCTTGTATAGGGACCTGGAACAATGCCTCGTGTATATTTGGGTCAAATTTCTCCCCTTCTTTTGGTGAAATAGACTCAAGGCCATGCTTCTTAAATACTTTGACCAGTTGAGACTCGGTCATATTCAGCCCTTCATAAAGGCTCACCAGATGAGGGTTCGAGTCCTTCAGCTCTTCTTTGGGGACTGCAGTGACAGCTGTGCTGAGGATATCTGACACCTCAAGGAGGTCCTTGCAGAAACCTTGGATACCATAGAGTTTGGCGTCGTCCACTTGCTTAGTCATCCGTCGCCGCAAGTTCTCAGACTCAGCCAGTGCCCTCAAGTGTTTGTCCTGCCCGAAAAAAAATATGGACACAGAAAATTAGCCTTCACATTTTACAAGAATACTTGATGAACCCATTAACACAACTCTGGTGAACAAAAACAAAAAACGGGACAGCAGGCACATTTCGACGGAGGCATGGTTTCAAGTCTTCTGTGTTCAACCTGTCCATGTTATACTGTATAGTCAACCTCCCCCCCCCCCCCCCCACCTTGGAGTGAGCATGAAGTTGGCAGTAAAGGTGGGCTGGCGGTGTAAGTTAGTGTAACAGAAGAGCACTGATTGCCATCTTGACAAGAAGCAAACTGTGACCAGTCTTGACTCATCTAGATCTGCCATTTATGTGATTGCCATAAGCAGGGAAATACGAGTAGTTGTACTAATAACATGTACAGCTCCAACTGAAATTAATGTACAGTCAAATTTCGTTATACCACCCCCTGTTGTACTGCCAGCCCCTCTTACTGCCAGCAATAGGTCCTTAGTTTAGATCTAATATTTCGGAGCCTGTACAGTCATTATTCCACTCTTCAGTGGGCATGGCACATGCATCACCATCACCTGTGACTGTGCGTGAGTTTGCAGAACTAGATCTAGGCCTAGCACCAGTGCTTTTTTCACCATCATCATCGTCTTAATCATGAATTCCCATCAACTGTTGCATATCAAAAGCATCCTCAATTAAGATATCAGACAGATTATCTTCAATATCACTGTGAGTGTGAGGAATGTTTTAATAACTGGAACAGATTTTGCCCTGAAAGACCAGACAAATCATCATCAGAGATAAACCACTTATCTTGCTTCATCAAAGCCACCAGCTCTCTCAATTCAGTTTATCAAAACTTTCCACTAAGCAAGCAAACTTTAACACAGTTGTTTCCCCTAACACAGGCAGCAGTAAATGGTGATAACTGGAGTCAATTCAGGTTTACAATGGTATAAGACACCGTAGCGGGAGCGGATAGAAGGGGTATAGGATGCTAAAGGTTAAAGTGGGTATTTTGCGTTTCGTCAAAGACGTGTGGATATCTCATCAATTTAAAGGATAAAAATCCAACATAGATTTCATCAATCAGCGAATGTCAACTAAGCCTTATATCATGTTTACGAAAGTTGCTAAAGATTATTCTGTAAATAAAGAGTAGAACAGAAATCTAAATTTTTCTTAAAACCGAAAAGATATGTCGCGTTTTGTCGTGAAACTCTTCACTTATGTTACAGTGGAGTCGACTTATCATGAGTCCTGAAATAACAAAAAATCTGCTATAAAGACGCTAATCTAAAACCACATTTTTCCCCCTTCTTTATCTCTGTAAATGAAATACTGCTACAGCCCAATCAGACAAACAAGTGAGTCTGTTATAGCCGAATATTGCTGCTGCTTTGCACAGCGCATAGACCAGTTATACATAAAACCTTGCCAGTTGAGAAACATGTTGGTGATCTAGCGAAACAAAGAATGGGAGAGCCCACATGAGCCAACAATGAAGGCAGGAGTGAATGAGTGGGGAGGGTGTGGCATGCGCAGATAAGCAGAACTCATTGCGTGATAGGTCAGCCTTGTCTAGATTATCTTGGCCTACCATGCCTCTCACTTCTCCGATGCGAGGATGGAGAGGTCACAGTGCTGTGATGGATGGAGTGAAAGTGTGACGTGCGCAAGCAGACGGAACGCACCACAGCAGGGGGTGTGGTGGGGTGGGGGACAACACAGCTGGCAAGTTAACCTAGAGCCCTTTCTTTCTGATCGCCAATGCAGAGCCATCAACATTGCTCACGCTAGAGAAAGAAACCAGATTCGATTTTTGATAAAGTAAGACCAAGAAATCATGTTGAACAAAATCATAATCAGGGGAGATAACAAAAAGAAATAAACAGAACACTAAACTCATAGATTGGGCCTGCTTTATTATTTCCCTTGAGTTTATTACTAGATCCATGAGAATCCTGCTATAACAGACATTTCGCACCAGTCCCCTTCCTCTCGTTATAACAGGATTCCACTATATTACCTTCAGGTCTTCCCATCTGCCATGCACAACAAACTAACTATAGAAAAGGAAAATGGGACTGAGAAGAAAGGGGTATAAAAGCTAGAGGATGAGATGATAAACACAGAAAGACAGATTGTGAAATGGCAAGAAAACTATTTTTTAAATTAAATTGAGCCTCAGAACATGCGAATTCCCCGACTGGTCCAACCTTCATTTCTTTGATATCCTCCTCAAGTTTCTTCACTTGTGCCGTCATCTGCTCAGCAGCTTTTACTTCATTTTCCTGGGTTTGACCTGCCTCTTTTTGCACTGGTTCTTCTGCTTCTGTTTTGTCTGCTTTTGTTGACATTCGGCTACTGCATCTGAAAATACCACACCAAGAAATTACAGAGGAATGCAAGAGAAGTTCAAACAAAAAAACCCAAACCCATATCACACTTACACAGTAAAGGTCTTACCACCTCTGGCCACTAATACTCTATATAATATGACACCTATTTTTTTTTCACAAAACGGTAAGACTAATCACCTTTCAGAAAAATAGAAAAGTTCAGATTTCCATGAATTAGCAAGACAACCGACCCCCCCAAATCTATTCCCCATGAGAGAAAGTCCCTTACAAATGTACAGTCAACCCTTGTTATACTGCCGCCACCATTGGGATGACCATGAAGTTGGTTCTGTGGAATTCGGATTCAATGAGAACTCAGATTCAACAAGGTCGCTTCCAGGGTGAACAGCCCCCGCAGACGTGGATTTGCTCATTTTTCTCCTAGAACAAACTTTATCTCTTCCAGGAAACCATCCATTGCACCTGCATCGCGAACTACTTTTCACTTAGCCGATAGCATGCGACCAATCAGCGGCCTTTTTTCATACCAACACATGCGTTGTTGGCACGTGATGTGTCTACTCTAGCGGGTGTTGGGGCCGGATGGGCGGCCAGCACACGTGTGACTGTATGTGCGTGTCGGGGGGGGGGCAGCGGCCCGGGCGTTCAACGTCGCAGACAAACGCTTAACAGTCTTTTTTTCCCTCGGCAACTGATCATTATTACAATGATAAGCTAGTCTTGACGTAGATCTACGTAATGAATGGTGCGCTAGTCTATGGAATCTAAAGTTGCCGTATGCTAGGCTCTGCACAGCAACACAACTTTTTGGAAAACAATCGAGATGACACAGGCGTGCATTTGAACAAATTAGTCTTTTTTTTTTTTTACACAGCTCATAATATGCAGGCATTTTACGCACTACTTGTTAGTTCTCTTTACACATTACTTGCTCAGAGCCCGTGCCGTAATTATCTACACAAAACCTCATGTTTTCTATAACGAAAACTCAGATTCAACGAGATTTTAGATTAGGCCCGGCGATCTCGTTGAATCCGAGTTCCATTGTATAAATAGTGGGGCTGGCCAGTTAATGAGATTCTCTGTTCAACAGCCCCAATCTACCAAAATCAAGGGAAATGATGATGTGTACATACTCTGGTTTGACTGTATCGTCTTTACATGCAAGTCCTTGCCAGTAGTGATTAAAAACACACACACAGACATTGCAAGTGGAGGGATAGTGAGAGGAGGGCAGCAGGGATGACTAAGTTAAAACGAAAAGGTCCACATGAAAAGGGCAGTTGTTGTAAAGAGAAAGAATAAGTAATATATGAGAAATGGGAGAGAGGAAGAGAGAGAGGG